AAACAAAAGTGGCCATCATATGCAAAAACAGGCCTTACTGCGTTAGTAACGCAGTAGCAATATGGTGATAAAATACTGCAAAATCAGTCGTAAACCGCACATAACATGTAAAATGTAACTTTGAACTTAAATTTATTTTCCTTTCTCAAAATTTTAGTACATTTTCCTCAATATTGATTTTCCTGAAATAGTTTGGCTCATCTGGAGGCGTGCAGCTTTAATATACTCTTTGTATATTTTTAATATTATTCAATTATCAATGAATCTGATTTATAAATGAAAAGAAATTTGTCAAATGTAATTAGGCCGAACTTAAAATTTATGTTTCTTTCCAATATACATGATATATATTCATCATTTAAAAATATAGTTTTATATCTACGTTTAGTTATACAAATGTACTATAAATATATCGACACTTCTAATCATAATAAAGTTTCCATTTGGTTATGGATTGGCATCCTCCTTCGTCCAGAATGTATGCCCATGCCATTTGGGTACCATTTTGGGTCTTGTTGGTCTAGATTATCGTGGAAAATACATTCCGTGAACGTTCTCATTCTTGCTGAAATATATTCCTATATTTTTCATTTTATGTTTTTAAAAGCTCATATTTATATTATTTATAACGAGTAAGATTGTTCTATGATCTGTGTTTGATCACAATCAAGAAATCTTTGTTTATCACAAAATAGGTATTGAATCATATCATAGATAACCTTCCAGCTTTTCTGATGGAAGAAGACCTCAGGTCTCATTCCGTGCATTTTTTCGGGCAACGGAGTCCCAACCGACGTTTCTGTTTAAAACTAGATGGAAAGTTTTTCGTTGGGCCCCATAAAAAACAAATCCTGTGGATTGAATCAGCATTGAGGGACTATTTGGGAAAATCAACCCCTTTAACCACTTTTGCCCCAAAGGGACAAAACCCCCCCGGTAAAAAAAAATTTAAAGAATATAAAACAAAAGGGGGAGAAAAACGTTCATTGAAACCCAGCCCCTAAAATCCGAAAGCCCACAAAACCCCCCAAATAAGGTTATAGCCTTTTAAAAAAAATTGTTATAAAATCATGTAAGAAAAAGAATTTCTGATAAACTCTCCATGTACAATTTCTAATAAATTAAAGATAACCAAATTTATTTATTTAAAATGTCAGTCTGACAAAAAAAAATTCACCGTGGAGAAGCAAACTTTGGTCCGTGACCAAAAAAAAAGAAACTGCAGGGCCAAAAAAAGCTGGCGAGGTGATTTTTTTTTGGAATAAAACCCGATATAAAAATGCTACATAGCCTACCGCAGCATTGCCGATGCTTCCTAAAAATGCATTTGATCTCGTCTTACGTTTTGCATTCAAACACCATTTACAAATGTGTTGATGACAACGTACAACGCACAATTGTGTTGATATTTTTGTAACAATTTGTTTGATAGATTTAAATTTGGTTGACTAAGATAATAACTTTTAACGGATACGCCATTTTCAAGTGTCCTATTAAATTATGCGTTTTGATATGTATAAGAGAATGTTTGATAAAAAAGAACGGGTTTCCTGTTGTCTTAATTTCGTTTTTATTTAAAAATGGTCCAGCTTACAGAAATGTCAACGTACACATAGAGTCAAGAAAATGTCAACGTACACACTCACAATTTAGTTTGATAGTGGTCTAGACATGAGGCTGCAACAAAAAGTTGGCTTTCATTTAGATTACCCTCTTAAACTGTATATCAGTACTGGTTTATACAATGCAAATAATTTCGAGTGCATTTATTTCACCGCAATTAATCTTTTTAAGCACGCTTTAACTATTTTGATGTTATTTATTTGTTCTTTTTGGTTTTTTTTTAGAAGATAAAATTTTAGTTAGTATGAGTGCTTAATGATTTGATGACCAGCAACATTCTAAACAAGGTTTGTATATTTTTTACTCTATTGATATAAATCGCATAACATTCATTTAATTACGTAAACAGCCAGGATTAGCGTCTCTTGCTCAAGGGTCCAGGATTGACGATGAAGCCGTATTACATTTTCATATTATGTGCTTTTCAAGATTTTTTCCTTCATTTTCCTTTTTAAAGATTTGTTTGCTTAAAGAAAAAGTAAAAACAATTGGAGCGTTGCATGCACCTGGCGGCACTGGCTCTTGTTAAATTAAGAAGCTAATGCAATGTTGTTATCTAATAAAGAGACCAATTACTGTCACTTGTTACCGGATCAAAAATGTAAAGAGTTATTGAATAAGAAGTCTTTAAAAGGGACAAATATAATTTGTCTCATATATGCTGAATAAATACTAGTAATCTGAATGTTAATCATTCAATGAGTCTGATTAATTGTATCTAGTCGTATATTTAAATACAGTTAAACTGTGATTATGTGTAATTGGGGCAAACCTACGATTGATTGATTATATAATTTGCAGAATTTCCAAATGATAAAATTGGTTACTTTTGCTAAACTATAGCCAGCACGTCTACATTTCGAGATTTATTTGCTGTTATGTCATATACAAGCTAGCTCTCATTAAAGAAGGTCGTTGTCGGAGCTTAAAGTGCTTAAAGTGGTTAACCTGTTAAGTAAGCTAAAGTTGATACAGTGTCGTCAAATGAATGAACTATTCGACTATCTCTGTTTCTTCTTGATGGAGTTTTGTTGCTTTTAAGCTTAAAGTGTTAAAAGGACGATTAAAACGTGCCAATAAAGGTGATTTATTGAATTTAATCCGCGAAACATAACATATGTGATAGACAGATGTAGGATATCATCGAAAATGGTCATGGTCAAAAACCATGAAATGAATATTCTTGATAGGATCAGATTTCACAGACCGTGGCTGTATAAATGGGTTTGTATTTTGATTCTAAATGAAATTATGAAACACAGCTTATTGTATGTTTATGACTGGCAGATATCATCATTTGCTTTCAGAATAAAAGAAAATTAACTTCTCAAGTATACTAACAACGTGCGTGCACATGTAAAGATAGTTCAGTTAGTGTTACTCTTGGTTCAATTTGGTTAGAATTATATTTAGTTGAAATGATTACAGTAATGTTCGGGTGATAAAATACATAACACATTAGATTGTGAGTAACAGTTTAAAGATCATCCCTCATAAAAATTACGGCTACAATATGGGTATTTATTCCAGTCGATCATTATACTAACTGAATATGTGCGCAACACTGACGAATGCTGTAAACTTTTCGGTTTTAATTAGGAGTATATGTGCCTCCTTTGCTGAAGAAGATACACCACTGTCATAATATTGTTAAGTTTTTGCTTTAAATGTCACCGTTGCTGTTACATTCATACCTAGAAAATGATAGATTGAAATACATTAACCGGGTTATTTAAAGTAACATTTTGCTCCTTTTTTCCTGACAAGTTGAGCTGAATTAGTAATATATTTCAAAAGATAGTTAATTATTATAGTAATTGCCCAATAATTGAAAGAATGTTAAGGATAAAATGTAAAAACTACCTTAATTATAATAAGACTGCCCAACTCTTTAAAAGATTGAACATAACTGATACATATTGAACGATATTCATAGAAATTTCCATTCGTAGTGTGGATTTTGCCCAAATGTAAATTTATTTTTACTTTAATCTTAGCACTCACCATTTACACTTGAATGGGTATTCTTTATTTTAGTGCAACAATGAAATTAATGATACAGGTTCAAATTTATTACTTTGAGTCAGCAAAGCAGTAAATTTGTTTTAAATTATCCTAATATTGTGGTCCGCGTAAAGGGAAGAAAACTATTGAGACATATTTTCTCTTCGCTCAATCAACAGGAACCATGGTCATGACCTTAGATTAAGAGGCAATAACTTAAATCACTAAGGTTTAGAAGTTAAATGTATTTTAAATTGATAAACTTTCAAAACATTTTCACATTGACACATAGCTATACTTATACAGACAAATTCAAAATTGGCTCCCAGCTTTGCCGTATTCAAATGCGCCACGCTTTGAATGAGAGAACCAGCCGGGCTATAGTCGGAGCCATCGGCAATATGTTGGTTCCCATATGCAAAGCGCAGCGCATTTAAATACGGCAAAGCTGGGAGACAATTTTGTATTCGCCGAAAGATTTTGTAAATGGAGTAAAACGACGATAATTTTTATATTAATTTCGCATGTTGCATTGTTTCTATTGATGTTAAAGTTTTAAATTGGCGATCGTCGTTGAGAATAATTATGCGGCAATATTGGATTTGGAATAAAATACATGGTGGTTTTGAGGGAAGGTGCGCGAATTTTTTTTCGGCGGACATTTTTATCTTGTGTATCATTATAGAAGTTAAAATATGTTTTTTTTTTTTCAAAACGGCTTATATTAACTTTATATATAATATGATAATTGCATGTTCTAGGATTGACAAATATACATTTTATTTGGAATTTAAATGCGTTTTGCGCTCCACTCCTCAAGTGTCTGTCTGTCATGACAGAACAATCAACAAATTTACGTTAACGTTAACTTGTATTTTATAAGTTTAGTATTCAAATTAAGAAGTCACGTGAGGTATAAATTGCAAGTTTTGGTTTTGGGTTAAGTGTAGATCAATTAAATGCTTGAATGATACTTTCAGATACTGAACTTTGACTTTTACACTGTTTATTGCGCGATAAATTTCCCTTTCATGATTACACGATTATTAAATTATTACACCAACAATATTCTGCGTATAATCGTAACTCTGCAACATAAAGCAAAAGTAAAGCATTCTTGATGTGCTTATTAATAACGTTTCAGTGACCCTTGTTAATAGGAATAGAAATTTTTATGTGTATTTGAAAGTTATCTAGCAAGGTTTTGTAATGTCATTGGTGGCCTCTTGTGTCCGAAATAATTTATGGAGGGGTACATGATGACTAAAAGAAAGTCCACATATGAACATTTAAGCGTCGTTTTGAATTAAATCCTTATCAAAGCAAAGAAAAGATCAAACATTTCACCAGACAAAAGCTACTGTTATGTTTTATTTGTATAAGACATGTTAAATGAAAATACAAACTACGAAACATCTGTCATCAAATTATCATCATAACAGCGATTTGTATACTACAATAATTTGGATATATTTTATACCTAAAGGAAAGTAATTAAATAGCAACAAAAAGGTGAAATGTACCTTGTATAGTTAAACATTAAGATCGCTAAATCTTATTAATCAGTGTTACAAACTTTTGCAACAATAACAATAAATTCTGAATAATTTATGCGCTAGTAATATTTTTGATTTTGGATTAGATCTAACAATTTAAAAATGCACGTATGCCTATAATATTCATCATATGAGAGCTTACTACTCACTACTGGTATACAATTGCCGGAAACAAAGTTAACACAAAATTAAATCCTCCTGTTTATTAATGTCCCAGAGAATGTATTCCAACAGTATGAATCATAATGCCTTATAATGGTACCAGTATCAATACCGCCTGGTATAGCCTCGACCCATACCTTCTGTCCGGCGGTCACTATGGCGACTGTATCAGCAGATGAACATCCATAGTTATCATCACCATAGAACAATGACGTTGAATATCTTTTTCCTTCAACCATTATACTAACAGTCAATGTCTTCTTTGGATAGACACAGAAAGCTAAACTAAACATGTACACCCCACTGATCGGTGCTGTAAATTTTCCGGTATTTGGGTTATACGCATCTCCTTCCTTGAAGATTAACACTGGAAACACTATGGTCTGACCTCCCACCACTGCAGTACTGGACTTTAATCTTGCCTTAAATGCAATAGTTGGTGTAACAGTATCTAGAAATGAAAAAATAAATAACTCAGAAGCAGGGGATTATATTTTTCGTAGAAAACTTAATATCATTTGATACAACACATGCTGTTAATTATCAATCAATTTAAATGCTAGATAAAATATTTGTATCAAATTTGATTTAACGAAATAAGTACATGTACATATTTATCGTTTTCGAGTCCGTTTATTAGTTTCATGAAATATAAGGGGCAACTACATTAACCTTTTAATTGTCAAAAATGAAAGGCTAAAAAAATGAAAATAAAGTATCTATTTGTTTGGGGCTGCTTATGATTTATAATACATTTGAATTATATTTTATACTGAAAACACATCATCAAATGTATGTTAATCAAAAATTTAGGGACAATATGAAGGTTCCAAAAATATTGTTCGTGAAAGTATGGATACTGAATAGACATGCACCAGTACAAGGGGTATAGTCATTAAGTACCAGTACTCATTAGTACCAGTACTAGATCTTGTTAAGTACTGCAGTACCAGTACTTTTATTCGGAATTATTAAGTGCCAGTACCAGTTCTTTCATATATACACTGTAGGTTGCACACTGTTAAACGAAAAAAACTTTTGTGGCGCCTTTATATGCCGCAATGCCGCTAAATGTCGCACTGGCGCAACACTACCGCTAAATGTCACATTATGCATTTTTTTTTTATAAAATTAAGTTAGCTAGTGGTATTATATTACAATAAACATTGAGTAAATGTTCGTACATATATAGTTACTTTGTGGGACATAAAGAAATGTCCCGATTCATGCTTTAAATGCTTTTTAAATATCATTTTTGTTTGAAATTTAAATGTAAAAGCGATTGATTAAGGTATAGTATGTAACTATGATAGGTGTTATGTGCAGATAATACTAATCTTTTGTGAAGTGCTTTGCGTACTTAGACAAGTTTATATCTTTACTACTGTCCATCCACTTGCCTCTCACTGCTGTTGGTATTCCTATATACCAGGAAGATGCAACACCTAGTTTACGATGAAATAAGACGAGGGGACACCTGAGGTCTTTCTTCACTAACGAAGCTGGAAAGTCGCAATGTAACCTTACAGTGTTGGTGCGAAGTAAAATCCAACAAAAAATAAAAAATGTATCAGACTGCTTATTTCGTATATATTACTGCGAGTACTAGCATTCTACAATCTGAATATCAACTTGATTATTTTTACAGGTGTCACAGGCACATTCAATATATTCTACGATGTACAGACCCAACAAAAATTAATAATGTACGGTACCTGTTCGTTTGTATGTGCGTAAATGTGCGTGAGTGTATAATTATGTTTTATTTATATTCCACTGTAACCTGCAATAAACATCACTTAATTGTGTAGGTCATATCATTCTGTCACGGCTAGCCGTTAGAATTTTATACTGAATAACGCAATAGAAAATAACCTAAAACTCCTTAACAATCCAATTGTTTTCTCTTGCTTGAACTTCAAATGGCCCAAACACTCAAAAATGGTTTTCATGTCAGTAATTTCAGATGTCTGTGATTTTTGGACTAAATGTTTTCAAATAGTGTTTAATATAAAATATCTGATTAAGATTTTCTATATAACATACACTAGTCTACCTACATGTGACATAGATAAGTGAACTGCCATTTTACCTAACAGGCTAGTACAAATTCAGGCGACCCCAAGGTCTAAATACATCATGAACATTTTCATCCTGTAAGACTACTGACATGCAATTTTTGGCATTAGTTTTAACTGCATCAAACTGGCAGAAATTGGATACATTATACAACTAAATTTCTAAGCTAAATTTCTTTTCATGTTGATCATCATTAAATGCTCTTTTTTTCCGTTCGGACGGACCAGTTTGAAAACATGTCAAATATTAATAGGATGGATTAAACGAAAGAATTTTACTTTTTCATCAATAATTATCAAAGAAAATATGTTCAAATCGAACAAAAACGAAAAGTGTAATATTTTGAAGAAATGAAGAGAAAAAAAGTAGAGTAAAAAAATGGTACCATGTGATTGGGTCCATATAAACTTTTATCTACAAACTAAGTAAATCTAGTTAGGATACAATCCCTTATGTCTGAGACGCGTACACTTATGAATACAAAAGAGGTTTGACAATGAAAGAGCAGTGACAATAACCATTGGACCACGGCGGTCCATAACTTTTATTTTGAGTAAAACAAAAGCAATGAGATATAAAATGCGTTCAAACACATTTATTATTGCCAAATTCCTACACTCTGTGTGTGTGGTATGGAGCGTTCGTGGTTTACGGAACGTCGGTGGTTCTATCCAGGTGCCTATTCGTGCCTGAAATAATGTACGGACATTTGAGGTCGCCACCAGTCGCGGAATGATCTATTCTGTGTCGGTGTGTCGTAAAGCCTAATCAAACAAAACCAAAACAAAATAGAGAAATAAAAGAATCCCTTAAGAAAGGCCAACACGGCAAAATTGACAATGTTGCCGGCTTGGTTTCATTGAGTCTGTTCATGAACGGCAGTGGAAAGTGCAAATAACTTTCCACGCCCCTTAGCACCGGCTTCAGCAGACATTTTAACACGGAAATGGTGAAATTTTGAATTAAGAACATCCGCAGGTGTTCATACGGCGGTTATCATGGAACCCTCAATGTGACACAGTACTGTCATTTATAGTGACTGCAATTTAAATCCGTTGGAAATTTCAAAACGAGGTAGTTTCATAATCATACTTGCATGTGCATGTGTATTTAAATTAATAAGAACTAACAATAAATTTCAGTCTTTCAAATGTATGTAACTAATGTAAATGATATGTCTTGCAATAATATAATATAAAATACTTCAATGTATAATAATTAAGGCAAATATTATTTCCAGCGGATATTTTCTTCCTACCGTAGATCATTTTTAAGCAAAGCATTTGTCATTGAACGTTAATCCGTGCTAAATCCACCGAAAATGCGATTGAGTTTGGTTGTGTGGTCTCTTAACGCGCAAAAATGTTCTATTTCATCGCTTGTTGCCATTAAATTTATCGTGAACTAAAGTAACTAGAATCAAATCATATTAAATTTGACATGTAAGTATCATCTTGTGTAATCACCAGACCGCCAGGTTAGACCAATAAGTAAAGTGTCTGTCGTACTGGTGGTCTAGGTGGAGAAGTTCAAAAGCATAAACTGGTAATGAATTATATCCTTTTTACTGGCAATGAAAGAAAAAAGAATAAAAAAGCAAAAAACTAATCAGGTTTGTTTGCATCAAAGAAATTTATAAAACTGTAATCCAATTGTGACAATATATTTATACCTATAGTATAATACTAATAATACTAATACATCCGAAAGCAAACATGCTTGTAGGTGGGAGCTCGAGGCCGACACACAGTATAAAATACTGATCTATAATTAAAAACTAAGTCTATTTTTTTAGGATAATCTTTTAGGTGTGTTAGATCCATCTCAAGCTGATGCTGTGGCTTGAACCCACAACATCTGGGTTGCTAAATTGGGAAAGAACAAATGAGTTTTATCACTAAGAGGCCCTTAATATTGACGTAAAACATTTGTTGAAATTGCGATGTTAAACGGCCGTGTTGCGACATTAATTTTATGATACAAGATTTTGCGACATTCACGGCGTCAACGACATTTAGTGGCAATGTTACGACATTTTGCAGCAAGTGCGACTTTTATCGGCGTTGCAACATTTAAAAGAGCCACAACATTACATATGTGCAGTTTTATAAACTCTTTAAAGAAAATAAATATCATTAGAAAAGATTTTTGCTTTTTATTCAATTGAACGGATGCAAAACATAACAAGTATTGTTTACTTTTCACATTCAAGGTTAACCACATTACATTTTTAATAAGAAATGCTTACGAAAGTACTAATTTAAAACATGTCTTTTATAAAATTACTACTTTAGTAGTTCATGTCAATAACTTGCATTCTGTAGATATTTTCAAGTGCAAAAATCGTATGACTGAGAAATCTGAAGATGAATATCTAGTAAACTGTGTTACAATACAGTTACCTAAATATCTAAAGCTTAACATTCATAAGGACAGCTTGTGTACCTCTTCACACCGTTATTTAGAAAAAATACATCCCTTTTCACACCTTCATTAAACTGACAAATACTTTATTATTCTTTGACATCTGTTTGCATTTAACAGATTCACTTACAATCTGTGACTATAGCAAAAATAAATTCAATTCAATATTAATCCATAGATAATTTCTCTAAAGCGTCATTTTCATGAAGTACAATTTCATATATTAACTTGTTTTCCATGATTGTCTTAAATAAAACGAAATATTTAAAACGCATTAATAAAATAATATATGAGACAAAAGTTATCTCTTTACATATTTTTGAAAACCAAATAACTGCCTTGGTACTGCAGTACAAGTTCCACATTTTGTAGACGGTAGTGCTATACCATTACTAATTGTAGCAAAATTTGGTCTGAGTAATTTTCAGTATCTCCAGTACTTACAAAATGACTACATCGCGTACTGTAGTACCAGTAACGCATGTCTGATACAGGTTTTTTTTATGTTTTAATACTGAATATTATATTTTACATTCTTCATTTATATAAATATCAGCGGGACGTTCAATGATATAATTAAACCATTATGTTATGTTTAAATGCAGTAAATATAAAAAAACCGCTTTTTTGGGGGATATAATTTCGCACCAAGCCTTAGCCCATCGCGACTTTTCAGCTATACTGATGGAGGAAGATCTTACGTAAATTTGTCCTGGCACGAACGGGCCCTTGAGTAGAAATAAGGTATTTTTCTCACATAAAAGAATTCAAAGTTCCTAGCAGAATTCGAACCCACAGCGGTGTGGGCTGGTTGTTTGAGATCAGCGACATTAACCATTCGGCCGTGAAAGCTTCCTAACTGATCGGTTTCTACAATGCTACGGGGACCTCAGTGCTAGGTAATAGTCATGAAGTTAGTAATTACTTTACTTCAGATTTGATTTTTTAACTACAGTTAAATGCATTTTTCTTTGTTTCATCTATAAAACACATCTTCAATAATTCAACGAAAAAAAAATAATGAAAAGATTATGTCTTACATGCATCGTAGAAAAACAGTAAATATGACGTTATTTACCTTGAAGTTCAAGAAGCTTTGCCTTAACTGCCGATGTGACATTACTGACTTCTTTCATACTGGTCTCGAAGCTTTTTTCAAGCTCTTGTTGATTTGCTTTCATCTGATCACTAACTTCCGTCTTGATATTTTCAACCCTGTTAACACATTGCTCTACCTCAAGTTTCAGTCTCTCCATTTGAAATTCTATGCGTACCATTTTTTCCAGCACCTTTTCCTCAAAATCATATTTAGAACAGCGAGGTTCTTCACAATTCCTTCCATTTGTCAAAAGAAAAAGAAGAAACACTATTTTAGAGAGCGACATGTTTCACGAATGACAAACCTTTTGCTTGAGTTGTTTGCAAGTGCATGAACCAGACTACCTTCATTATTGCCACGAGGAATCATTTTACGGAATCCAATTCATGCCACCATGTTAAAATCAATGCTGCCGTTGCCCACCTCCTTTGTTGTCTCTAAACATAAAAAATACAATATTATACAATTATAGACTAATGTTGAGGTTTATATATAGTTTTCCAAATTTAAGAAAAGTGATATTGTCAAAAAGTGATATTAGGGCCAAAGTTCGAGGTCAATATAACTTTTGTCAGTCTATCGGCAAAAGGAAGTCTATATTTTTTCATCGTATACTACAGGCTATAATAGCGCATACGTTCAACTTTAGAAGACTATCTCAACTTTATAAAACATTCAGGTCAACACGTCTCTAAGCGTTCAGCATGTCTTTTTGCGTACTGGTGACGTCAGCGCTAATCAGCCAATCTAAACGTCGCTTTTATGAACGGTTAACGGTATATCGACATTTAAGAAATTCTTTAATGTGTGTCGATGAGTTATTCAATGTCAAACTGTAAAAATACATAATTTATGAAATAAATGTTTTACACAACAAAGAAGATAATAATTTTATAAATGTAAACAAGGAACTCATAATAATGTTGTAATGGAATATCTACTTTAAACAATTCGAGGAAAAGCGACATTGCTAAAATCAGCAAATGATATCAGACTAAATCTATGAAAAACCATATTTTGAATATTCAGTCTTTCATATGATATCATCGGAAATAAATTAAAGTCATTGTGCTGAATTAACGAATGTACATATACTCGATCAAGATAACTACAAGGCTGTAATTGACATTTTGTAGCATTTAAAGGACGTCAATTTGTAAGGATAGGGCAAATGGAAACTTAACATAGATAAGAATAGCAAAGACAGTATTCCATACTTTGGGCGGTAAAATAAGTACGAAATTCGGCCCAGGAAACAAATATTTCTCATATAAATACGTAACATATAATAATTTGTTACCAGTCGTTACATAATTATATAACGCCTCTTTTACCTCATGTTCAGGTTTATCTCATCTGTTTTAATTTTCTAGACTTTCCTTTCGTTTTGCTAACAAACATACGAACATCAGAAACATATTATTATATAAATGAAGAATTTACTTCACGATGATGGTTATTAAGACATCATATTAAATGTTCGTGTATCTGAAAATTTTCCCACGCAGTCAAAGATATTATACGTAAGATCACAGCAAAAAACAACAACACATGTTATCAATTCGCAAAGTTTCTAACAGCTAACAACCATGGTTTCTCGTTTTTAAGAAGTGATACGATTTAATGTTACACGGAGAAAATGTGCGCAAGTATATTTATAAAATCATAATGTCTTATGAATTAGTAAAAATATTCTATTGTTATAAATATGTTAATTTTTACGCTTACTAAATTTGAAATAAAAAATGAAATTATGTCCCGGTGGTTCTTTTCCCAATTGCTATTTAATTTCGATTTTTTCTTACCTCTTTAAGCACCATTTAAAGATTTGATAATATATATATAACGGATAAAAATGTAGTAGTAACACCTTAATAATAGCATGAGTTGATTGATTGTTACGTTTCGTTGGTCTAATTATTAAAATTATTTGACCTTAACATCGTCACTATTGATGCAATGTGTTCATTTTATCATAACATTTAAAACATTGAGATACAAAGGTTTAATTATGCCGGAACTTTTGTTGACAATATGAATACGTGCCGCTCATTCTGTTTATTTAAAATAACTACCTATTGCTAAGTATTGTTCACTTTGCAATGCATATTTTTATTGAAATCATACCAATACATCTAAAATGACTTGTCTATTTAGAATTTTTATCACCTGAATGTTTAGATATTAAATATTACTTTAGCCTTTTGGTTATCAACTACGCTGCCTGTGTTCAAGGTCCGACTATTGGACGTACACGAGTTCTGATCCCATTATCAGTAAGCGATACGACTGCGTTCCGGATAAAAATTTTAAACAACTTTTTATAAGTTAAAATCTAATTATAAAATTCGCATGAGGTTTGAAATCCCGTATTTATTTCCTCTATCATTCCTTGAATAAAAATAAACTACTAAAATACCTTATGACTTTATAATAATAATAACTTCGTTTAATGGATTTTTAAACGATCGCAAGATGTTTTTATATTTACTACCACAGGTAAGAAAAATAAAACAAATGACAATCACTAGAAAGAGAACTATAAAACACTGGCGTTTAATGTTGTTATAATAGTGCAGTGTTAGTTCGTTTTCACTGCTCCGGAAGAAGATTTGTTCTTTAAAATATAACTTTAACAGCACACAAGTATATCTAACAGATAGTACTCTGATCTGATTAACGCTTATTTATCAAAGCACAATAAAATGTATTCCATCGTTAAACATCTTGGTCTAGAATTGTACCAGTATTACTACCTGAATGTACTTGGACAAAAATTTTCGGCCCGGCGGTCACTATCGCAACTGTATTAGCAGCTAAACATTCGTGATTTACATCACCATAGAACATTGACGTTGTGGATAAACCGTCCGTGCCCTGTCCTGTTTTTGTTTGGGGTCCGCCTGGGCTCCTTGCCACTGGTTTTTGATGCTGGTCGTATAAGGGTTGCGTTCATTGAATGCCGCCTTTCCTTGTTGATCTTGTGTATCATATTTTTTGGTTCCTTCAATCATTATACTAACAACCAGCGATTGGCTGCTGTAAACACAGAAAGCTAAACTGAACATATATGTCCAATTGACGGGTGCTGTAAACTTTCCTGTATTAGGCTTATATGCGCTTTCTTCATTAAAGATTACTGTTGGAAACACTATCGTCTGACCAATAGTCGTCACTGCTGTATCTACATTTAATCTTGCCTTAAATGCAATTGTTGGTGTAATAGCCATATCTAAAAAGGAAAGAGCATTGCAAACTTAATATACAAGAAGGTGATAAACTTTACAGTTATATCTTAAGAAATATAAAACAAGGTGAGCAGTTAAACGAACACTACTGATAAACAAGTGAGTTAAATATTTTTTAACCAAAGAAATGTTATAAATCCAAAATCTTTTAATTTGAGTCACCTGAAAGTAATCCATGATTAATCCTGATCTTAGTCGTGCTTGAAACAAAAAGTCAAGGGCTTTTCAAACTAACATTTTTACCAATTAGAAGGGAATACTATGATAGCCTCCGTCCGTTCCGTCCCGTACGTCCCGTCCGTGCGTCTGTCCAACATTTTTGTCCGGAGTGTAACTCAAAAACCTTTTGAGATACCAAATTGAAACTTCATACGTAGAAACATCTCATTGAGGAATAGTACAGCGCATTAGAATGATAACTCTATCTTTTATTGTTGATTTATCGCCCTTTGTTGTTATTTTTATTATAAGTCTTCAGTTATTGCCCTTTCGCTATTGATCATGCTTAACTATTTTGTTATTTTTATGTTTAATTTTTATCCTTGTCATAACTTAAAACGTTTTTGAGATATAATTTGTAACTTCATTGTTAACAAAATGTCATTATGGAGGAACGCAATGTACTCTATCTATCATAACATGTTTCTATCATCATGTTTGAGTTATTGCCCTTCAATAGTTTCTTATGCTTTATTTTATCCGAAGCATAACTCAAGAGTCCCGTTTACAAGATTGATAACTTTACCAATCATAATCTTTGAGTGATTTCCTATGATATTTTTCGTTGAAAATTTTGTTTTTTGTATCACGAATAATTAAAAAGTATTTGAGATACTAATTTGAAAATAGTATGATATATCTTTTAAAGGATGTGTGCATATCATTAATCATTGCCATTTATAGTTTTTATGAAGAAAATAACTCGAAAACTCAATAAGTAGATGGAGAGTCCAATGCACAAATATAATAATTTTTCACTTTTTTATTTTAAGCCTTTGCAATTTTTTGTTCAGACAATAGTCTTTATTCGGAGCTGTGTTCATTAAAAGCCGACTATGTTGATGATTGTTCTTAAATTTCTGTTAATTTTGGTGTGCTAGCCTTCTTTATAACGCAACGAAATTTCAGTTCATCATAGTTTATATTTATTCGCTTTGGACAGTATTAAAATGAAAAGAGACATGATGTTATGAAAACATGATACATAAAAGTTGTTATACCTTTAAAATCTTGAAGTTCGTGAAGTTTTGCCTTAGCCACTGCTGTGAAATTAGATACTTCTTCCATTCTGACATTAAAACCTTTTTCAAATTCTTGTTGATTTGTCGTCATTTGATCACTAACTTCCACCTTGATACTTTCAACTCTTTTAACGCATTGTTCTACTTCACTTTTCATTTGCTCCATTTGAAATTTTATGCGTAGCATTTTTTCCAGAACCTTTTCCTCAAAATCATATTTAGAACAGCGAGGTTCTTCACAATTCCTTCCATTAGTAAACAGAACAAACAGAATAAACACAATTTTACACAGAAATATAATTTTTACTTTTGATAACCTCGGCTGTCTGATTTATTTGAAACTGAATTGAAGAATTTTCAAACGTTATTCAAATGGAAAATCCTCATTCTGCTTTAGAAAATTACCCCAACTGGTTTTATTTACTTTTTGAACTCATCAATGTTTTTTATGAGTTTAAAAGTCTGGCACCAACGTGATTTATGACGTCAGTATTTTAATAATGATTATATTTTCTAGTGTTTTGTAAGCATTTATACCATAAAACTCATTTCTCAAAATGAAACATGATGTAGAAGATGTTTGGTAAAATTGGTAATGCTCTCTCTTGGTTATTCATTGTCCCAGGTTGTCTACCTATGTCATTTTAATGGCCCTCTCGGTGACGTAACATTTAGATATTGTAAGCACTATGTTCAATGAGCTTTTGGCTCCTTTGTTGATCTTAATTTTATAATAAGAAAGAATCTACCACCTTCCGTAATCATATAATAAGAAAGAATCTACCACCTTCCGTAATCACTATTTTCGATTGAAAGTAATTACTAAAAGGCTTGTCCGAACATTGCAGCGGAAGTAATTGTGCATTAAAATATCCAACATACCTAAATGTTCATCTCTGATACATTAGATCTTACTGCACCGGTTAAGACTTGATGGTTGCTATCTGAACATACACACAAACAAAATTTATAATAGAGCTCCAATCCGTTGTTTGCCTTTGTGTCCGTTGCTGTTTTGTTTGGGGTTCTTTAGGGCTCTTTTTGGCGTTCCCGCATTGCTTTGGTATGTTGAGGGATCATTTCATTAAATGCTACCTTTCCTTGTTGATCTTTGTTTCAATGTTCTGAATTAACCACTTATTTTTGAAAAAGTGAAATAATGTTGATCATTAAATATTGATTTTTAAAAGTTCCGGGTATTGAAACTTGTTGGTTTGATCAGACGTTTTTAAGAAGAAATATTGATATTCAATAATATATGTTTACACTGGCACATTGAGGGACATTTCTGTTCATTAAGCACATATTTGACCAGATCAACAAGTAATAGCAGCAGGATGATGGTGCACTGTGACATTAGTCACTCAGTGAAGGGAGAGACATGTAATCGAGTACGCCTGACAACCTACAATATCTTGAAACAAATAACTATGAGCTTTCACAAATATTGGTTTTTAACTTTTTAACTTTGTCAAATGCTTATGTAGAATATGCTAACCTTTATCATGCTCAAGGTGCATACAGTAATCAAATAAAGGATTAACTATCTAAGCTAGTTTTGAAGTATTATGGATTTCGATTAATATATGAAAATGTGAATACATTTTCTGTTGATTCTTTGACTGGCCCTATATGATAAAGATTTAGTACGCTAACGCTGTTTAACGTCGCCAAATAAATGAATTATTCGACTCTCTGTTTGTTCTTGATGGAGTTTTGTTGCTTTTAAGCTTACAGTATTAAAGGGATACTTTCTTTCTTTGAACTCTGTTTTATCTCATTGACCAAGAAACAGTCTGTATTATAATTACAATAAAGATAACAAAACTATAATGAGTTATTCATATCATCAGATGAACATGTACGGCCATCACCACCATATAACAATGACGCTGAGCAATTTATTACCGTCAATCATTATACTTACAATATTAAACTGAATATGGCCGCCCCATTGACGGATGCTGTATTAGGGTTATACGTCCCTCCTTCGTTGAAAGCAACTGTCAGAAGTTGTACACTACTGTCGTATTATCATTTAGTTTCGCTTTAAATGTTAATGTTGATGATACCTTATCTTATTTCTATAGAAAGGTTAGAATACATTCACTGGGTAATTTAAAGGCACATTAAGCCTGTTTTTGTTGCTAAAGATATGTCAAAAGATTGTATATTATAATATGACCCATAATTGATACTGAATACTGTGAATGATAAAACGACAAATTACGTAAATTCTAAAAAAAGACTATTCTACTCTGATACAGATCTGTAACTGATACATAACAAACGATATCTACAGAAATTTCCATTGATAATGTAGAATAATAACTATTTTGCATAGTTAAATATAAAATTTAACAAATTATGGCAAAATGTAAAGTTATTGTGACTTTCACCTAAGCACCCACCATTTACACTTGAATGGGCATAATGTCATTTCAATTTTAAATAAAATCAATGTTATTACAAATTTCAAATTAATTACATCGAGTCGGAAAAGTAGTACATACTTTACATATTATCCCAATCATGTGGTCCTTGTATTGAGAAGAAAACTATTAAGACACCCTTTCTCCCTGACTCTATCCACGTGAACCATGGTCATGACATCAGCTAAAGAGCAATGACTTTAATCACTAATCATAAGTTTTAGAAGATTTTAACTTGATAAACGTTCACAAATTTTCACTGATACATATCTATACTTTAACTGACAAATACAAAATTGGCTCACAGCTTTGTCGTATTTAAACGAGCCGCGCTTTGAAAGTGAGGACCAGCCGGCTATTCGGTAATATGTTGGTTCCAATATTCAAAGCGCGGCGCATTTGAATACGGCAAAGCTGGGAGCCAATTTTGAATTCGTCGAACGATTTTGTAAATGGAGTAAAACGTCGATAAATTTGATGTTTATTTCGTCTACTTCATTATGTATATTGATGTTGAAGTTTAAAATTGATCATCATCGAGAAGAATAATATCTTCTTCTGTTTCGATGGACAAAAGGATCATATGAAAATATTGGAATTGGAATAAAAGACATGGTGATTTTGAGGGAAGGTGTGCGGATATTTAATGGCGAACATTTTTATATGTGTATTATTTTAGACGTTGAAATATGTTTTTATTTTTCGAAACGGCTAATATTATTTTTTTATATATGGTAATAACATGTGCTGGGATTGACAAATACACATTTTATTTGGTATTTAAATGCGTTTTGATCTCCACATCCCAAGTTTTTGTGTGACATGACGGAACAATCGACAAATTTACGTTAACGTGAAATTGCTTTTTATAATTTTTGTATTGAAATTAGGAAGTCACATGAGGTATAAAAATTGCAGCTTTTGGTTTCGGGGTTAAGTGTAAATCAATTGAATACTGTAATGACAAATTCAGACACTGAATTTAGAAATTGTCTTTTACACTATTCATTGCGTGATTAATTTAACTTTTATTTTTATACGATTATTATATTTTGTTACATGCTTTTCGGTGGTTTAGAGAATTATATCAGTGAAATAAAATACTTATATTTTTCACTCTTTTGAATTTAATCTCGTTACGTTCTTTAAGTGAAATGCCATAATCTTATCGGTCAGTCAAGCTCATCATTTATTTTTCTCCATGATGCATATAATGGTCTCATTGGCTTCCCTTGCATCAAGATTGTATCATTACAAAAATCGACTTGCATCATTCAGTGAATTACTGAATTCATGATCGACATGAATGGTGACATATCCGAGGTCCGTACTGTCAGTTCCTGAAAGGGCGGATGGACCTTCATTAAGCCTAGAAAACATACATACATCAATGAAATACCAGCGTGCACAGTAATGGAAACCAACTTATTGACGCGACGTCGTAAACTACATCGCTTTAAATAATTTGGCTCGCTTTTTATTTAGTATTAGGTTAAACTGTCTTTTTAAAAGGTTTCTTTGCATATAATAAAAGAATTGTTTAGTTTAGAGTAAGATCGAAATATATTTTACCTCGTGAACACAAATTTTTTTATTATTTACTTATGGCTGCGCAACTCGTGAAATATGCCTTTTGGTGCTCGCTCGGGGAAATATATCCCGATCTTACACTGAACGAAACAAATATTCTCTATATAACATCAACACGACCCTGGTTATAATCGTAACTCTGCAACATTAAGCAGCACGAATTTCTATATGTACCTATTTGGTACAAAAGTAAAAGTATTCTAGGTTTTCTTATTAATAACGTTTCAGTGACCCATAGCACAGCATACCCACGATAAATTTGTGATATTTTCTGACTCGCTTTCTGTTTTAATATCCATTAAAAATAAAAAATCTGACAATATCATGGTAAAGAAACTTCTTTTGCGATTTCATGATATACTAAAAACAAAATATGTTAAATTATATTGGATTCCAAGCCATGTAGGAATACGAGGAAATGAAAAAGTAGATGTTTTAGCTAAAGAATCATTAAATTTTCAAAAACCTGACTTGTTGTTACCTGCTTGTGATTTTAGACCGGCTATAAATAAACTCGTATCATCTGAATGGAAAGTAAATTGGGACAATGCAGTTTTTAATAAACTCCACGATATAAACCCATCTCTTGATATGTCACCATCTCTATCTCTGTCAAACCGCCGTGATCAAACAGTTCTTCTTCGATGCCGAATTGGACACACTAAAATTACCCACTCTTATCTCCTCACAAATGACAATGCCCCTTTCTGTGTAGGTTGTAATGAAAATTTTACTGTCAAGCATTTTCTTCTTGAATGTTATGATTTTTCACAGGCCCGTAATAGATTTTATTCTGTAAATTCACTCAAAGAACTTTTTAATACAATTCCATCAAAAAACATAATTGATTATTTAAAAGAGATACACTTGTATTCTAGGATCTAATTGGCTCATTTCTATTGTCATTTACAATGTTTTACATAATATTTTAAGCCTATTATAGCATTCGGCACGATATGGCCAGTTATGTGTTGACGTGCCGTAAAAATCCAAACAAACAAACAAACAAACTAGGAATAGTTCTACCACAATTATTTAAAATATTGAAGGAGACATATGTATATTTGGGAAACCAGTAAAGTACTAACACAAAACATCAAAATGCATATTTTGTATGAACAATGTAAACAAAACCTTATTGTATGTATAGAAGATATTCAATGGCCCTATTTCAGTAGCCCCTACCTTACTTCTAACCCACATACACCTTTTTTGTTGTGTTTTAAGTCACAGTACATGTCTAATGGCGACAATCCAGTCTTTACTGGTGAAGTAAAACCTCAGGTGCCTTTCAGGGCTTTATTTCAGGCATGAACGGACATCCGAGTAGAATCACCGAGGTTCGTAACCTATCTGGATAGCTTTAATTGTATAAAAGACCAGGGAATGAAGTAGAAAAAATTGACACAAATTGTTATGAAGCGATATATTTTTTAAGAAAAAAGGGTTTTTAATACATCATGTATTAGTATTCTCTAAACATTATATTTTTAAATGTTAAATACTTCACACTTATTTCAACAAATTAAACGGCAAAAATCTAACGAAACAACAACAACAAAACAAAACCGTACACTTCTGAGATTATAAACATTGTAAAATATATAAATTTGTACAAGAAGTTGTATTTCAATCTCATCATCTGCTGATAGATTCTTGTTGATCAGCAGAAAACAGTTTGACTGTATTAAAACATGTAAAAAGGAAGAAAGACAGTAAGGGAAGCGGCATGATAAATTAAACAGTCCCAGAAAAGATATACTGAAACTTGCTGTCTCAAAATCGCAACATTGTTTTCATAGTGTCACTAAAGCTGGACCGTCACTGAAGTAAGGCATCCTACGATAATTATGATTCGCTAAAATCCAACAATTACATTGATGGTCCGTCAAATACTGTATCGCCAAAATAAACTCAACTGATTTTGTTTTTAAATTGTAAAAATAATATTTTAATATTTAAATTGTCTGTTAAAAGTTCGTATGCCTTGAACTTGATACGCATATCATTTCATTGACTAGTAAAATTTTTTAATTCGTTTTTACATGAATAGTTCGAATACATTTCATCCTACTTATTTGTGAGAAAACCCAGTTTCGTATGCCCGGATCATAAACATGAAAATATATTTCCGAATGCGATAAACGCACACGTATAATCAGTGTGTATTTGAATCCCGACCAGGACTTTGAATAATTTCTCGTGAGAAAAGTATCTAGCTAGATTTCGAAATGTCCTTGGTGCTAGCTCAAGTCCGAAATAATTTACGGAGGGATACAAAAGGTCTTCCTCTGCGACTAAATAGAGAAAGTCTGAAAAATATGAGCATTACAGTGTTGTTTTGACTTAAACCCCAACTCAAACTAACATACAAGCAAACAAATAATCAAACAAACAAATATATAAACAAACAAACAATATCAACAACAACAACAAAACACTCAAACATTACAAGGGACAAAAACTACTGCTCGGTACAATTTATGTACCGCCTTCTTAGTTCTTGTCAATCAAGATAATACTTTCGCCTATTGTCTTATATGTTTTACTATTTGTGTACGAAATATAATGATGTCATTTTTAGACGATGTCTACTTTGCTGGAGCAGACACACACATATATTCTATTCCATTTCTTTCAGCAATAAATAATGTTGCATGAGCTGTCAACTTCAAGTTAAAACGCGATAATATTTGTTACCTTTTACACTTTAATTTATCAAATTCATGTCAGGAAATGCTTTGTCACTATTTAAAGATACCGTTAAGTGAATGAAACTAAACTAGATAGACATTGCCCCTTTCCGTGTTTTCTTAAATCAAGTAAATTAAACATGCTACATTGACATAAAATGTTATGAAATATTAACAATAAGAAATGAGTTATCTGAGTCGTAATATCGATAACCAATTATGCAATTACAAATAAACAAACAACCAAAAGTGATTACTCTAAGGTTTTAATGTGAACAAAAGAAACATTGAGTGTTATTTTCGTAGAACGATATACATAATTGCCTGTTGTTTATTGATGACTGAAGTTCTTAATGTATTTGTTGCCTGTAAACAAAAAAGTATACTTCCAAAAGACCTGTATGACAGAAACATGTTTGCAAATGATGCGAGCTAGCCGGTCTTACTTTACTTTAACCCTACCATAATATTATTGAAAGAACATAATTTTACCATATATGAATTCTATAAAACATTTCATAAGATATATCAGGTGATGCAATATGAAACAATTTTATGTGAACGTTGTGATTTATATAAAGACAGGTTAATACATCACAAACATGTGATCATATATATATATATATATATATATATATATATATATATATATATATATATAATATATATATATAATATATAATATATATATATATATATATACCAACATAAGTATTATTATGAACGGTATTTTAAGGCATATTGACACACTTGAGCTCATATGGCGACCTCCAAGCTTTACTAATGGAGGAATACCATGAATTATTTCAGGCATACGTGGGTACCTCACTAGAACCACAAACCTTCCGTATGCCAGCAAGATATCTGTTGTGTAATATCATATGCTCTCTTATTCTCTCTAGTCACGTGGGTATAACTCAGTATAGACTTGACTTTTTGGAATACTTTAACATGTAAACATATGCTTTCGTAGCTAGAATCAAAATAATGTATATTCAATGGTGTTCAGGTGATAACTAACCAATCGGCCATTCAGACAATAGTACAATCAATTCCTCACATAAACAAAATAACCACAGACATTTTAATTATTTTAAATAGCAGAACAAATATCTTGTAAAGTTAATGATTAACATCGCTAAGTTTTATTATTAATTATTGCAAATATGTTTTGCATGAATAGCAATAAAGTCCGTATAATATGTGCACTAGTATTCCAACAATTATATTAAAGATGCATGGACACGCCCGTAGTTTTCTCATAACATTCGGCTGCTTACTATACAACTAGGTGAAACAAAGTTGACACAGAATTAAATCTTCCTGTTTATTAATGCCCCGGAGAATGTATTCCATCTAAATGTATCATCTTGACGTATAATGGTGCCAGTACTACCACCTGGTATAACCTCGACCCATACCTTCTGTCCGGCAGTCACTATCGCAACTGTATCAGCAGAATATGAACATCCTGAGACATCATCACCATAGAACACCGACTTTGAATAACTTTTTCCTTCAATCATTATACTTACATCTAAATGCTTCTTTGGATAAACACAGAAAGCTGAACTGAACATGTACACCCCACTGACGGGTGCTGTAAATTGTCCGGTATTTGTGTTATATGCATCTCCCTCCTTGAAGATGAATACTGGAAACACTACCGTCTGACTTCCCACCACTGCAGTATCGGCATTTAATCTTGCTTTAAATGCAACAGTAGGTGTTACAGTATCTAGATAAGAAAAACACAATAAGTTCACAAGCAGGTGATTAAATATTTCAAATTCAACATAATATCATTTGATACAAAACATATTGTTAAATTTACTATGAATTTAAATGTTAGATCAAATAATTGTATGCAGTATCAGTCCCAGTACTCGCCAACTATGCAGTATCAGTCCCAGTACTTGACAACTTATGCAGTATCAGTCCCAGTACTTGACAACTTATGCAGTATCAGTCGCAGTACTTGACAACTTATGCAGTATCAGAACCAATAACAGTACTCGCCAACTTATGCTGTATCAGAACCAATACCAGTGCAGAATCAGTACCAGTACTCGACAACTGATGCAGTACCAGTACCAATACTCGCCAAACTTGTGAAACTTATCAGTTCAAGTACTGGATATTGAAAAAAAGTATTGCAGTACCATCATTTAGTACCAGTACTCTCATTAACTTTATTTTATTTTTTATGAAGGCACATTGTCAAACGAAACAGTACATTTTACATTATATACGAACTGAGCTTTTAATTACCGTTGAAGGACAAGTTTTAGAGACCCTAAGCGTATTCTGACCACAATGATAACGAATATTGAAGTAAACTTAATGTTACTTCAGATTTTTCAAAAGTTACCTTTCATCATTAATTCTAACACAAACAATAGCAATATATCTATAAATAAATATTATTACCATATTAATCAAACCAACCCTTATTTTGATCACATATACTGAATGGGCCCTATTTCAGTGACCCATTTCTAATTTCTAACCCCTAAAGCATATGGTATGGATACACAAATAGAGGAAAAGAAAATATCAATGCTAAACATATGCTTTAATAAAGACCAGACATGGAGCACAATAATTAGGAAAGTTTCAGAAAAGGAAATTTTATGAAATACTAGGGGCAGGAGTAAGAAAGATTGACACAATATATAATAAGATTTTTATATTTTCAATTAAAACTTGGTGTTTAACTATTGATATTCTTTTAATATTAAATCTGAAAATTTTTAATACGTTCAACAAAATTCAGTGGTAAGAAATACTTTTTACTTCTTAGGTTTCCTCCAATCTTTGACCAAAAATATAAGGAAAATGTGTATTTTAACTTCATTGTTTCCAAATATTTTCATGTTTATCAGCTCAATGAAATTACGGTCAGTGAGATAATAGGCTGACAGTCATAAAATATGATAAACAAGGTCAACAAGGAAAGGCGGCGTTCAATGAAACAACAACAACAATTTTAATTTTAGCTTTTGGTAACAAATTAATGCAATATTCTGTAGATAAAAAGTACTAGTAATAAGGAAAATGCTTAAAATGAAAGATTTCCAGGAAAAAATAGTATGCAAGATACACAATTTTGTATTTTCTGACCATTTTTTATGGTTGCATAAGCAGTCCCACTGGAATAAACGCTTAAAAACATTGATTTTCAAAATGGCAGCATTTTATATAAAGGTCACTGAAATTGGGCCGTCACTGAAGCTCAGCATTCTACGACAACATACATTCTTTCAAAAAGATAAATATTACTACGAAAAAATATGTGCTTGTGATATAATTGAATTACATTCAAGGTTAACGTAACTTTTCACAAAAGTACTTACAAGTCAATAAAAAATACTTCTTTAATATTTTAGATCAATTACATGTATTATGTAGATATTTTCAAGTGCAAAAATCTTTCTGTGAGATAAATCTTGAAATCTGAAGTTGAACATCTGGTAAATTGTGTTACAACTCAAATACCCAAAAAATCTAAAACGTAACAATAATGAAGACAGCCTTTGTTCCTCTTCCCACATTCATTTAGAAAATATACATCCCTATATTTCAAAGGCAAAGCAATTATTATATGAACATGGTTTTAGATAGGTATTTGAACCACGTTAACAGTAACTGTGACCTACTTTATATCTCTGTTCTGGCAAAGATTGATTGATACAATCACACAGAATTTGAGTCGAGATTTAGAAAGTTATTTTATAAATATTAAATCACCAATTTGAATATTCGGAGTAAGTAGAAAAACGTATACATCTGTCATTATTGTTTGATTATTTACCTGTCAATTGTATATTGATTTTACGGTCAATGCAAACATACATGTATATCAATCTTCGATAGATATTCAGTCGGTTCCGTGAGATGTGATGTATCTGTAAAGTTATTAAACTACGAGTTTATGATTCCTAAGTACCCTCAAGACCGCGTTGGTCATGTTTTTTATTGTCTTAATTATATTTTCAACATTATTGAAGTTATGATTGTTTTTTATATTGTTCGATTTGTTTTAATATGTTTTTGAGTCTATGTTCCTGTTTAATAATATGGTTGAAGAATTCGTATTAAATTAATTCTTATTAAAATCAATAGATGTCATTTCAATCCAAAAACACAAAACAAATCGCGGTCTAAGTTGCGTCATATCCATGTTAACAATTTTGCAAGCACTCGGTCATTTCCATTTAAATATTCTGCAAAAATAAAAGTATATGTCTGAAACAATGGTAACAGTAGGGATCGAACCCCAGACCTCCCACATATAAGGCAATCACAAAACCGACTGTGTTTTTGCAGATGAGACGATGACCTTAACAGTAAGCTTGTGTGACTTTCAAAACATTAGTTATATACTCGAATTTAATTTTCGTAAACGATACGGACAAAACCGAAAATGGATCGGATATTTAAAGTAATGCTATAACGTATTCGTAATAAAAGACTATAAAAAGACTATACCAAATTTAGGATATCCGAAAATCGCCTGGCCGAAATGTTCAAAATAGGATTGAAAGAGGTGAAAGAACATGCAATAAATGTCAATTTAGAGACATTGAGGATGAATTCCATATGATACGTTTATGTCTCTGGTACCTATACGTTACGTTGATAAATATTGCAATGTTTAAACTTTCACCGTTGCTTTCAACCACTAATGCAAAAAAGTTGACTGAGTCAGCTTGTTTTCTTGATTGTGCTTCAAAGATAATCTATTGAAATTTATGTAAAAGAAGATGCTTTATGTATTGTCATATACGTCAAGAATTTAATTTTTTGTTGACATGATACTGATATATATTCTATATATTCTTTTGTTATATGTACAACTGTTATTTTCAATATTGTATGAGTGATGATCTAGATTTACCCGGAATAAAACAAAAGATTCTGTAATATTTGATAAAACGTTCATATTTCAAACACTATAGACCTTTTATACTACGATATTTTCCTAGAAACGGAATAGCATTTTGAGCATGCGTATTCTACGTATGGCAAAAAAAAACAACGCAATACCGAAAGAATAGATTTTATCAGTTATCAACAACTTCATTTATGATTTGATATAATCTAAATAATTAACCATAAAACTTGATTATTTCTGCATTTACGCATTAATTCAGAGTCTTGCAATTCTGAAAGACCCTGAATAAGACATTTGATTCTGGCAAAAGAACCTTCGTATACAAGCATAAGAATACATCATTTCTTGCGTTTAGTGTGCTGAAATGCGTCAGTTGGATATATCGTCATTTAAAATACTCGTTAAAGGTGTCATTAAAACGTAACCGATGATATAATGACGACATTTATTTAGTATTTTTTATTACAACTTAAGACATACAAAACGAGCCAGGATCATTATACAAGAACTTGAAATTTAAACAAGGCAATTTAAGTTTAATATATAAAGTACTGTAAAGTAAGTTATTAAGTTATGTTGGTTACTTATACTTAGTGTAACTGGCGAAGGGAAACATTTCATATAAGAAGATGTTTCGCGGGGATATTAGGGTTATGAAATGAAATTCACTTCAATACTTATCCACAAAATAGAGAAAATAAGAATCCCTAAAGAAAGCCCGACAAGGCAAAATTGAAAATGTTTTATTTTCATGTAGTACTTTTTCTTATATTAATTTCCATAACACGGTTTCTAATATAAAATGAAAGATTTAAAACTTCTTTTTATACGTTAATAAAATAATAACCGAGACGAGAGTTAATATTTTTATGAAAACCAACGGACTGTCTTAGTACTGCATTACCACTGTTTACGGACAGTGATGCAATAAGTACCAAAATTTGATGTGAGTAATCTTCAGTATCAGAATCAGTACTTACATTTTGACTGCAGTACTTGTATTGCATGTCTGATATTGATACATGTTTATTTACTGTTTTAATAATTACATAAGTATGTTGCTTTTTGACAATTAATAAATTTTAAAATCGTAATTATTTTGTCCTCTAAAATTTAGTATCACCGCGATGAAGATTTGACAAAAGCCTACTTCCAAATGATCCAGCCCTCTGTACTGGAATATGAATATATTCCCGTTAAATGTTAAGTGTGGTAAATATAAATAAGTCGCAAAGCCTCGGACCTCATATAATTATAGTAGTCCCAAGTTAAACCCAGACCTTAAACATAGCTCAGTATTCTTTTGTTAGATTTTCAGAAACCTTAATCACTCGACCATAGAATGCCCCTTAAACCGATCGGTTCTGCAATGCTATGTGGACATCAGTGTTAGATAATATTGATAAATTAAAAACTTGACTCCAGATTTGATTGTCATACTACTTTTAAATGCATTCTTCCTAGTATCATCACATCTTACAACACATCTTCAATAATTCAACGAAAATAAAAAACAACAATTGTTTTTTTATCTATAATGTATCCTAGAAAAATCAGTAAATGTGACGTTATTTTACCTTGAAGTTCTTGTTGATTTGCTATCATTTGATGGCTAACTTCCGTCTTGATATTTTCAACTCTGTTAACACATTGCTCAACCTCAAGTTTCAGTCTCTCCATTTGAAATTCTATGCGTACCATTTTTTCTAGCACCTTTTCCTCAAAATCATATTTAGAACAGCGAGGTTCTTCACAATGCCGACCAGTGGTTAATAGAAAAAGAAGAAACACTACTCTAGACAGCAACATGTTTCACGATAGACTTTTCTGTCTGAGTTTCTTGAATGAATAGCATTACCTCAAAGAATTATTTATTTGTTTAGCTATATACTCATACCTATAATGCCAACTCTTGGGGACGAAATTAATATGTGTTATAACTCTTGAATGGTTTACAATATCATTAGATATAAAACCGCTTTATTTTTCAGTAACTGCTGTGAGACGTCTTGAAAATCACTTTAGAATCGCTTTATTTTCCAGCGTTTTGAGGCGTTTGTACCAAGAAATATATTTCGGAACATCAAAAACAATTTAGCAGATGCTATGCACTTTTTGCGATGATAAATGTAACGGTAGGTCTATATCTTTTTATGCCACCGCAGCATCTGCGATGCGGTGGCATATAGCGATTCACCTGTTTGTGTGTGTGCGTGTGTGTGTGTTTGTGTGTGTGTGTTATATAGATTATATAGTGAACTTAAAAAATCTTCTTGTGAAAAACCACTATTCCAATTTCAACCAAATTTGGCAGGATTGATCCTTGGGTCAAGGGCTTTGAAAGTTGTTCAAAGAATTTAATTCCATGCAGAAATCTGGTTGCCATGGCAACCAAAAGGAATTATAAGAATAAATTTAAAAAATCTTCTTGTAAATACCCAAAAGGCCTAGAGCTTAGATATTTTGCATAAGGCATCGTCTGGTAGACCTCTAACAAGATTGTTCAAATTATAGCCATGGGGTCAACATTGGTCCCGCCCCGGGGGTCATTGATTTTCACTATATGTACATATAGTAAAAACTTAAAATACCTTCTTGTAAAGACCTAAAAGGCCTAGAGCTTAGATATTTTGCATAAGGCATTGTCTGGTAGACCTCTACCCAGATTGTTCAAATTATAGCCCTGGGGTCAAAATCGGCCCCGCCCCGGGGGTCATTGGTTTTCCTTATATGTATATAGTAAAAACTTATAGTAAAAACTTAAAAAAAAATTCTTCTAGCAATTGACAAATGCTAGAGGTTAGATATTTTGCATGAAACATTGTGTAGTAAACCTCTAGCAAGATTGTTCAAATTATAGCCCTGGGGTCAAAATTGCCTCCGCCCTGGGGGTCATTGATTTCAATATATACATATAGTAAAAAATCAAAAAATCTTATTGTCTGAAGGTACAAGGCTTAGAGCTTTAATATTTGTTAAATAATATCATCTATAGGTACTCTACCAAAGTTGTTCAAATTTTGCCTCTAGTGTCAAAATTTGCCCCACCCCGGGGGCCATAGGTTTTCCTTATATGTGTATAGTAAAAACTTAAAAAATCATCTTCTCTAAATTTACAAAGCCTAGAGTTAAGATATTTTGCATGAAACATTGTGTAATGAACCTCTAGCAAGATTGTACAAATTATAGCCCTGGGGTCAAAATTGGCCCCACCCCAGGGGTTATTGATTATCACTATGTACATATAGTAAAAATTAAAAAAATTCTCTTGTCTGAAGGTACAAAGCTTAAGCTTAGAGCTTTGATATTTGGTATATAATATCATCTATGGGTCCTCTACTAAAGTTGTTTTAATTATGTCCCTAGTAAAAAAATTGCCCTGCCCCAGAAAAATCTTCATCTCTGAATTGACAAAGGCTAGATGTTAAATATATGGCATGAGTTTTTGCCAAGTGAACCTATACCAAGATTGTTCAAATTATAGCCCTTGGGTCAAAATTGGTTCCGCCCCAGGGGTCATTGATTTTCATTATGTGCATATAGCGAAAAAATAAAAAATATTTTGGTCTGAAGGTACAAGGCATAGAGCTTTGATGTTTGATATATAATATCATTTATAGGTCCTCTACCAAAGTTGTTCAAATTCTTGTGTGAAAATTGGCCCTGCCCGGGGGCAGTGATTCTCATTAAGTACACATAGTAAAAACAGAAAATAAAACAAATGTTTTCTGAATGGGAGAAAGCTACAGCTTAGATATTTGACTTGAAATGTTGTTTGGTGGACCTGTATCAAGATTGTTATGAATTAAACCCTTGGGTCAAAATTTTGCCTTGCCCAAGGGGACAGTGACTTACTTTCTTGTCCTTTGATGTACAGCAATGAAATTTTGACCATGTGCACATTTTTAGTTGTAAAATTGAACTTTGATATCAGGTGACCTAGATTATGATGATGTGACCTACTTTCTTGTCCTTTGATGTACAGCTATGAAATTTGAACCAAACGGCGGCATAGCATGTTTCTCAAATGCAATCTTGTTCAAACCATCAAACAGTCATACCTTCTATAATTCCTACCTTGATTGTGAGTAGGCAGCAGGTTGGACCATTTCCAAATGAATCTTCGGATATAACTTTCAATTTTTGAGTTATCCAATATTCCCAAAAGATCATAAGACCGAAATACCGTACCATACTATTTTGTTCGAGGTCATTATCGTAAATTAACGGTAAGGACGGAAGAGATGTGGTTGGCGTCATAAAATTATAATATTAATGAATAAACAACAAGCAAAACATTATTTTACATATGACCTTACTGAGTTTATATTACACAAGAACCTACTGAATTATTAAACGGATCCGTTTAATGGGGGTGGGATGGGGGAAGTTGAAATCCCGGGATCCGGTTTCGAAAAAGATCTTTAGGTAAGAGTAATGAACTTATTAAACTATATAGTGTTGATATGCGTCGTAATGGAGCGCATTGAAACGTTAAAGTATTCAGTGATATCGTACGTAATGCCCATTCTGTTGATTTCAACTTAAGATTGAAATTTACTTGAAATGCAGAAATCACAAAATATGATAAACAAGATCGACAAGGAAAGGCGGCGTTCAATGAACGCAGCCCCCACCCGACCCAGTAACAAGCGTCAGTGGCAAGGAGCCCAGGAGGACCCCAAACAAAAACAGGACAGGGCATTAGGCAGAGCACGGGCAGGCAAACCACTACATAAGAAACTTATGACGGATTTATGCCCTCAAAATCAAAGTTTTTGTTAATATACGAACAGGATTTTTTAAAAACTGCTTATTTCTAAAAAAAGATCATATGACATGAAATTTTAATATATACTATTGAATTTATGGCTAATTTTTGGGTATTTCTAGATCATCCATCGTATACTTTACATAACTGATATACAATCGTTTGACATACATGGCAGATGGTCAAATCCCGGGATCTCTATTTATCTAATACGATCCATTCATGATTTGTTTGAAAAACTAAAACAAAATATGTAAATTCAAAAATCTCTTTCGCTACGAGTGGAATGTCTTAAAATTATTGTACAAATACTTGTGGTAGTGTAAGCTTTACAAGTACATTATTAAATCAAAGAAATATCGAAACTATCAAATTATCAAAGAAACTCCGTGAGAACAAAATGTTCAAGTCTATAATTTAATTTCCTGAATACCTCTTATTAACATAACACATCCGTAACAAAATGCAGATTTTTCGATAGTTTAATTATTGCACTACTGTTAAGCGACTTGTGATAGAAGTGCTAATAATTATGGCTATAGATTTGTCGAATTTTTACAAGCAAATGATATGTTTATATTGAATGGTAGAACGAATGGTGATTTAAATGGCATTTGTACCTGTAAAAACGTTAGTACCGTTGATTATTTTATTTGTACATCTGATATGTTTAAGTTTGTCGATAGTTTGACTGTGCACGATATTTTCCCTATGCATTCTGATGTCCATTGCCCGATCTCACTTTTATTAGATTTTTGCAACAAGTCTTTAAATGACTCAACACCAAAGTTAAATTCACGGTATTTGATGAAGATAGAGCACATGTTTATTGTTCTAATATCAAGGAAGATAGGCTTTGTGATATCTACTCAAAGCTTTTGACTATAGAAACGCTTGATAATATAGGCAATGAGTTAAATGAAGGAACTGAGGAAATTTCCGAATTGCTCGTACAATCTTCTGAAGAAACGTTCGGTGTGAATTACATAAACAATATAATAATAATAATAATCATAATCATAATAATAATGTCAAAAGTAAACAAAAACAATGGTTTGATAATAATTGCCATAGAGCTAGAAAAAAATTTCTTTCTGCCAAAGATCTTTATAAATTAAGGAAAAGCGACGAAAATAGAATAAATCTAATAAAAAATTCAAAGTAAGCAATATAAAAATGCGCTGCATGAAAGTCATAAAAAATGTGTATTCTCTAATGTAGAGAAACTTAAGAAACTCAAATCACATTCGCCTCGAAAATTTTGAAATTATTAAATGGAAAGAAAACTAGAAATGTGTCATCATGCCACGGATGCCCCCCATGCAGCCAAAATTTCAGATGGTGCTTTAATTATTTTTTTCATTTTAAGTTCAAAGCCCTTAAAACTTTTCAATGTTAACACAAACCATTTTCATACAATGTTCAAGGCACTGAAATTATTCAGTCTTAACCTTTTAAAAATAGCATATTGCATATTTGTAGCCAAAATAATGGCTAAAAGTATGAGTGCTGAAACTGAAAGTTCAAAATTTTTCCAACATTCAGGAAAGATAAGTTTGTCTAAAATCATTGAACCACGACCAAATTCAAACTTAAACTGCTTATTCCTAAGATGTATCTATATTATTTTCAAAGTGAAAGGGACATAACTCTGCCAAAAAATCATCAAACCATGACCAAATTCCAACTTGACCTGCCCATTCCTTTGACATATCCATATGTCAAATTTAAGTTGAATATGTAACACTGTTGGGTAGATAATGAACAGAAACTGTAAATTTCATATTATTTTCAAAGTGAAAGGGGCATTACTCTGCCAAAAATCATTGAACCATGACCAAATTCGAACTTGGCCTGGGCATTCCAAAAACATATCCATATGTCAAATTTGAGTTGAATGTGTTGTACCATTGGGGAGATAATGAACTGAAACTGAAAATTTCATATTATTTTCAAAGTGAAAGGGGCATAACTCTGCCAAAAATCATTGAACCATGACCAAATTCAAGCTTGACCTGTGCATTCCTTTGACGTATTTATACTTTAAATTTGAGCTGAATGTGAAATACTTTTGGGGAGATAATGAATGGAAACTGAAATTTTCATATT